AAAAAAAAAAAAAAATTACTCCAAGCAGCAAAAGAAAATTCAAAACCTTTGTAGTCCCAAATGAAGTAACTTCAAAGAACACTGTTAATACTTCAGGCTAAAATGACTTTTTTTTTTTTTTTTTTGAGATTTAAAGTCCCAGTGAAATGATGTAATTTTAAAGTCTCATTGCATTTAATGAACAAAATAGTCTGTCAACAAGGTAATGGCCTGTTGAGTGACAGCACATCAACTGTATTCTTAAACCATTGTTAAAGTGGGTCACACATAATAGGGTTCACAAATATTGCGGCCCACCTTCCTGGCTGCAGAGAGGACTGGAGGTACACCCTATGAGCAGAACAATTTAAATGGAAATGCACGGAATGGAGTTACATTGTATTACACCCTGGCAAGGTGACTTCTAAAGGAACTTGGAGGAGGAGACCACCTTGGAGAGTCCCTCCCCCACCCCACCCTTGGCCACATACAAAGGTTCACTGCCTCACCATCAAGCTTCCCAGAATGCCAGACCAAATCATACTGAGATTGATTGACATTATTGCTGTCCTAACACCTCGAGGAACCTCAGATTTTACTTCCCCAAAGGTCAAAGCAAAGCTTAACTGCCCTTGAAGATACAGGGTTTAGTTTCCACAGCATGCTAGTGGGTCTCACCCAGTGTTATCAGAAAAGATAATTTGGAGTGATTCTTTAACTGTCCTGCCCACGGTACATCATGAAAACTAATAGTGATAGAAAACCAAAACAAATTTTTTTAAAATATAAAGACAAGTTTAAATAGCAGAGAATATATATCAATCACATTAAAAGTTTAACAGGTTTAAAAGTAAAAATCAACTGTGTCTAGCCAGCAGCACACAATTAACAGCAGCCTACTGCTTCAGGGGCTATGTGACATTTTAAGACATACTTTTTTTTTTTTTTAATTTCCTTGACTTTTGTCATAGCTTTGTGTTTTCTAGATTCCTTGCATTTTTTTCTGTCTTCAACATTTTACTGGTTCCCGCTTCAAGGTGGGGTGTAATACTTCTCTCACTCCTTGGGGACTTCAGTTATCACTTGCTAATGTCCAAATAACTGATACCTTCTTAATATAAATACTTTTTCCCCCTTATTTATACAATGTGTCCAGGATACAGTTTGGTTTCTGTTTCTCTCCTTACTTTCCATGGTGTTCTTTATAAGCAGATGCTTTGTTTTAATATATATTTATTTCTTTTTTGGTTAAGAAATCTTCCCTAGCTCAATTTTATAAGTAATCTATTCTAAATTTTAAAAAATCTTCCAATTTATCAACATCAATCCATCTGATTGTTTATGAATGGTGTTAAGAATGAAACTAATTACTGTCATGTGGCTACTTAGTTGTCCCAAGAGCATTGGTTGAAGTGTCCATCATTCCTTAATATATTTCTACAAAATTAATATTTTTTTCAAAAATTTATATTTTTAAGGAAGGTTATACACACACACACACACACACACACACACCCCTTTGGCTTGATCTTAATATATTTTTAAGACTTTCCAATATAAAGTTAGTTATTCCAAAAGAAGTTAGTTTTTATATGTTGATACTATGCTTTTCAATACTTCTGAATCCCTTAGTCTAATAATTTGAATATATATTCTTTTTGATTTTCTACATAAATAATTGCATTAGCATAATCTATAACTATTTTTCTTTTTCAAATCTTGTATCTGCTTTAAAGGAAAAGCTTTCTGATATATTTTATTATAGATTTTTAGTCCTTTGTTAATTTCTTTTCTATCTCTAATTTGTTAGAATTGACACAAATGAATAATGAAATTTATCTGATGCTTTCTCTATTACAATTTTGATTTTTTTTTTGAACCCAGTTTTTGCATGAGACTTAGCTCTTTTCCTGTATACTTTTTTTTTTTTTTAAGATTTATTTATTCATGCATACAGAACTGGGACATGGGCCAGAGGTGCAGGGGTGGTGAGAGGATCCACTAGAGACAGTGGAGAGCAGAACAGGCAGACTGATGAAGTACACTACTGAGGGGAGCAGTGGGTGGGTCAGGAGAGGTCTGCCATATCAGGTGGGTCATCTCCGGGGCAGGCGGAGTTCGAACTCAAGCTGAAGTGGCTTTAGCTTCTTAGTGCTGTGCTTTAACTTGCTGCACCACCAGGGAGGGCCCTCCTGTATACTCTTTATCTGACTTTGATTCCAAGTTACACTGACCTGCTAAATCCTTTTTGGGAATATTTCTTCCTTTCCATTTCTATGAATAACTTTCTAGCCATCTAAAGTAATCTGTTCCTTGAACATTTAATAGACCTTTCCTGTAATATGTCTAGAGCTGGTTATTATCTTATAGGAAGACAGTAATACATTCATCAAGATGGTGGCAATTGAAAATGTTACAAGTACTGGCAACTTATGAAAAGGTCAGCTTCTTCACAGCCTTGCCAATACAGTATTTCATCAGCCTTCAGTTTTATTTTGCACCAAATAGTTGACAAATGGCATTTCGTCTTGGATCTTGTGTGTATTCCTATTATTAAGATGAATTCACTGAGTGCTTTCATTAAGTTTTGTTAAATTCATAGTTGTTTTTGTTCTTTGTCAAATCTAGTTTTTCTTTGATTCCTACTTGCTCATTATCTCAAATCCAAATCATTGAATGGTTTATACATAGCTATTTTACAGTCAGTGTCTAATCATGTTAGTATATCAAAACATTTGGTTCTAAATCTGTTTTGGTGACCCTAAGTCACAGCCACCTGCTTCCTTATGCATGCAGTTCAGTCCCGGGCACTGTTTTATGATTTGGACCTGATCTATTAGTAAAGAAAACAAAGGGCCTTAGTCAGATGGGACTTAGAGGTATATATATAGTTTCTTCCTTAAAATGCATGAAGTAAATGTTTGAAAATGATGGCAGAAGTTATAAATTGTTATGGAACCCAAAATGGAGATGGCAAGAGCCATAGAGGAGAGCACAGGCCCCAACACTTACTAGATGGCCACTAACAAAATCCTGCTGTTTTATGTACTAAGAATTCTATAAGCACATTCTATCCACTCCTATCTCTACCCAACTCTCTGGCTAAGGACTTTCATTGTAGATCATTTGGCCTCTGCAATCACCTCTAGCTCTGGTCTTGCCTCCCTCAAGTCTACCTTATTTGGGACCACACCTAATTTATTTAAAACAAAAAATTCATCAGGTCCATTCTCTGCTTATAACTCTTCAAAAGGTTAAAACATTTACTAAGGTGGAACTCCAAAAAATTCTTAAAGGACAGATCATAGAGATATTTTGGAGGAGAGTGAAGAAGTAACTAATGCAAAGAACACAAGATAAGACAACCAGTTCCTCAAGTTGGATTTTCTTTTTTCCCCACATTTTCCTTGCTTTGAATGAGATGACAACACACAAGCATAACTACAGATTAACAGATATCCAGTATGCATCCTCTGTGGATTTAACTCCATTTAATTATCTTAAACATAAATGTATATACATATATATATATTTGTGAAGTTTTATCAATTTACACTATTAGTTGTCTTTCAAAGAGACAAGTATACATGATTTCTACAGATTGCTTTCTTAAAATATGAGCTTTGTCCACCCATGTAAGGGTGATTATCTCCAGGGCTGACTGGTTAGTATGTTGTCCTGTTTAAAGATTATTCTCTGTTCCATTTTTTTCAGGAGGTTATAGAAGCACTAGGGCTTCAATTAAATTTTAAAACCTAGTATGGTTCATTTTGATTCTATACACGTTGTAAACTCCATGATCATACACATCCGAGGCCTTGGTGCTGGTTCAATAACATACTGAGCATGCAAGACATATTAAACACATATTAAACACCACTGCAAAACCTTCTTCAGGAAATCTTTAAAGGCAGTTCATTCTGAAGTAGTACCTTTTGTTGGAGAGTTTTGAAAAAATCATTTTGTAGTAAAATATTAAATACTGGTTTATTTAATATGTAAGTTTCACTGAAAGAATACATCACTGCAGGATGCTTATTGTTTTTATAACCACATCTCACTTAAAATCTTCCTGGGAAAATAGTTCATTTGTTTTTGTTTGTAGGTGTGGGCGAAGGATGATAGAAAGCCTCACAGTCTGGGCAATCACACTGAGAACAAAGGGCAGATGCCATTTTTTATTGTGATTGGCTGGAGCTGAAATCAGAACTTTCTCCCTCTCTGAGGCTATTGTGGAATTTACAGTAATCATCCTGGCTGCCTGCCCATCACACAGCTGAACAGCACACCAAAAAAAATAATATCTAGGGAGAAGGCCACAACATGTTTTTTAAAATTCTCATTGTTTTTACTCTACAACTTTCAAAGATTTTTTTTTCTTTTTTTTTTAGGAGAAGAAAAAAAACTCACCCAGCTGTTACCACTATTCATATTCCAATAGCCTCCAAACTGCTCCAGGCCACCTGGTTGACTTTTGCCTTGGAGTCGGTCCAGAAAAGCATTATTTACCCTTTAAAACAATGAAAAATGTGTGTGAGTGGAAAGCTGGCTGCAGGGCTGAGAGACTTTTGAGAATCTAATATGCTTTATGAACTGACTGTGGGGATTGCTTCCCCCCTTCAGCTTAGAAGAAATCTACAGAAAGTGCTTTTCACATTAGCCATATGACATGCTGTTAACAGCCCTCTGTTAGAGCTGGTGCCACTCTCCTGCAGGCTGGAGGGAGGCACAGCTCTGCACTTAAAGAGTCTCATGCCCCCACCTTTACGACAAGATGAGCCTTGGTCATCCAAACCACCATGCCCCAAAGGCTCGTGCCAGATGTGAACCCCAGAGATGGAGAAATAGGAATTCTTCTGCAAGAATTAAAACATGAAGTGAAAACAAAAATAGCTGTTGCAAGACTGATGTCTTCCTATATACCCTGTACCCCATTGTCAAGTTTTGCTACATTAAATCCCACAAAAGAAAACGAAAATGAGAAGAGAGTATGGGGAAGGGAAAAATAACAGAGGGAAGTCCCAACTTAGAGAAGGAATAGATTCATTTTTCCCAGATATTCAATCACCAGTAGCAACCAATTTCAGAAAATAAATTTGACACACAGAAGCTAAAACTATAAAGATAGGCATGAACATGATCACCATAAAGGTCATACGGTTACCTAGAGGGCACTGGCGACTTGGGTGACTACTTTATAGTTAGCCACTCTAAGTATTGGTTTCATGGATGTTTCTGCATGCTACATATTGCATTTTTTTTATTTAAAAAAGTAAATTAAAAGCAAAACCATGCTTTGATTTGCTCTTGTATGGCTGCGTAATATTAGGATCCTGAGACTGGAGAGGCGGCATGTAACAAGGATGCTATGATGGTCACAGAGTAAGGAGGAAAAGTGTCACTAATCAAATCTTGGCAGGAACACTGCCTGGCACATTGCTGCCATTCAACATTTATTTGTGGGAGGAAGGAAAGGCAGGGCCCAGACACAGCAGCCTCCTTTACAATCCCAAAGATCAGTGTGATGTGGTCATGGAGGGTGGCTATAAGTCAAGAACTAGGAGAGTCGAGACCTCTGCAGAAAATGATGCTGGATGACAAAGCCAGAGGCAGGGTATCATTTGCTTACTTGTGCTTGGCCAGTGTCAACTAAAATGCTAACTGTATGATCGCCTAATTTGACCTCAGGGTTGCCGGAATGCTGTCTCCTCAACAACTTCAAGTCTCATTATATCATCACACAGTGGTTATATCTTAGTTACTAGAAAGTTTTTTCTTCTTACTAAGACATTTACCCACATGCCACATTCTGCTCAGTCTGATTCATTGCAGAGGTCCAGGCTGTGATTGCCTTTTCTATACCTCTCAGCATATAGGCTGAACAGTGTCTTACTGAGATGGAGACTTGATTACAAAGGAAGAGAAGCAGACCCTGAACCCGAGAGTTAACTACACAACTAAAGTATGAGCATTTACCAGCACTGTCGTTATCCAGTCTTTTCTTGTTGGTAACAGAGATGTGCTTTTCCTCAACATTCCCCAATCTGCTCCACATCCAAACCAATAGAAGCTTCATTGGTTCTACCCAAATACACATTCCAAATTCATGCATTTCTTTCCATGTCACCATTCTAATCTAAATCACTATCCTCCCCCATCTTGCTTCTGCTTTCACTCCTGTCCTCTAATCCATTGTCCACACAACCACCTTATTAAATTATAAGAGGGAACATGTCTTTCTCTTGCTTATAACCCTTCCTTATGCTCCTAAGGAAGCATATGGTTTCCTTACAAAATCACTGGTTTAAAAAAATGTTGTATTTTTTGGCATCTACCTACACTCTATTTACCCCCTATAAATTTAACTAGCTGAGACTTAAAAAGCCCAAGGGAAAGGGGGTGGGGGGTGGATCATTCTAGTAAACAGGGTCAATGTAGTTTAGAGAGATGGCGATGTAGAATGGTATTACCTGAAACCTGTATAATGTTACCATGTAATACCATTTGAAGTCAAATCTAACTTTGCAGGCTATGCATTTTGCACTTATGCCTAATAATAGGGAACATCCAAGCATGTATTCTAACCTTCAGTACTGGCTCTTGTCCTACTTGTCAATGAGGACCTGCTACCTCCTGTGACCTAGCCCTATAAAGTGGTTCTCATGGTATTTATCATTGATCTTGCTGTTAAATTGTTGACTTTAATATATTTCCTCAGATGGTCATTGCCATATGGTCAGGGCACTTCTCTTCCTTAATCCTAGAGTCCTAGTACTCAGAACAAAGGTTTGACAGAATGCACTCTGATGTCACTGGTTAATGAAGCATCCAGGCGCATGGTCCCTGCCTGTGATGGCAGCCACATCATGAAACCCTCTATGATGGTGAAGGCAACCTGCAAAACAGCTCACTGGCCACTGTCTTCCATTCAGTCAAAGCCTTTGAATACTGACAGCTTGCCATAATATACAAGGTGACATGGTTCACCTCTGAGCATCAGTTACTAAGAGCAACCAGCAGAGGGGCTGAGCCCTTTGAAATTCTGGGATTGCTCCCAATTGGCCTAAGTCCACCACACTATGTGTCAACCAGGATCATCAGTGGCAAAGAAATAGTTTTTCTCAATTCCTATTGATATATCAAACAGTAAAATTAAAATGCCAATTTATATTTGTATTTGCTAATTTTGGAAAGTACATGTATTCTATTGCTATCAAACTAGCTCAGGATTTTCTTCTATGGGTTAATTTGGATAAAATTACTATTCATTAATTCAAATGATAATTACTGAATTATCATTCAGTAATTCAAATTTCAATTAATCAATTCAATTCATTCCAGTTTTCAGCTTGTTGTCCATATCCTTTCAAGTCCTTGACCCTCATACTGTCTCTTTTCTTTAGAGTTTCCAATTTCTTCTCTTACAAAAATGTCACACTGGGTCGGGTGCAGGGCTACTCAAGCTCAGTCATTACAGGGGTCATTGGAAAGCTGTAAGGAACCCTACAAGTCTGCTATTATAAAACTCAGGGCTGAATTCTGTTCTGTGAACTTCTACACAATAGAAAACAGGCTGTCTTTTTATGCCAATAAGATTATGTCCCTGGAGAAAATCTAACTTATATTCTCTACATACATAATTCATCACTTGTGTTGTAGCCCTTGGCAGAAACAGATACAGCAATGTTATTCATTAGAGACGACTGAGTGAGTATTTTCATAAGATAACATGCGAGAGGTTCACCGTAAACTAATACAAACATAAACGCTCTTCAAAAACTGAGAATGTGAAATGTGAGTGTAAACACTTGATCAGTTATTTAAAAATTAATTACTGACTGCATTGTTCAGACATATTTCTTCATGGACTTAATGTGGATTTACATTTAACTGGAATCAATAAGGAGAGAAAATAAAATGTAAAAAAAAATTCCAATATTTCAGTGCTCAGTAGGGGCTAGAAATAAAGAATGAGGGCCAGGATTTATGTAACAAAAAAAAAAAAATAATCTTTTCCAACTCTAATTAAATCATTTTTGTTTTCATTGGATGAATGTTAAAGATTAATTTCTTAGCAAATGAGGCCTATTAATATGACATCTCACTAAGGCCTATTAGTATGACATACCACTATTTTCAACGTGAGTTAAGCCTGATTCAATGAACACTCAGAAATCCAGAGAAATAACTGGCTACCATTAAAAAAAAAAAAAAAAGTGTTAAATAAATACTATATCAGTTACTTTTAAATAGCTTTAAAAAAAAAAAGAAGTAAACTGGGCCCTCCCTGGTGGAGCAACAGGTTAAAGTATAGTACTAAGAAGCTAAAGCCACTTCAGCATGAGTTGGATCCCCGCCCCAGAGGTGATGCACATGATGCCCCAGTCCTCTCCTGACTGGCCCACTGCTCCCCTCAGCAGTGTGCTTCATCAATCTGCCTGTTCTGCTCGTAACTTTGTCTCTGGTGAATCTACTTACTGCCCCTGCACCTCTGGCCTGTAACCCAGTCCTGTATGCATAAATAAATATTTAAATATATATAAATTTTTAACTAAATAAAGTCCCACTTTGTAAAAACAGTAATGGCGTCCCTTGACCCCAAAAAATAGCCTCACCACTGTATCAACATTTATGTTGCCTTATAATCAGGAAAGAACATATAAATTCACTTTTGGTGTTTTTTTTTTTTTTTAAAGATTTATTTATTTGTGCATACAGAATTGGGGTACAGGTCCGAGACTCAGGGGCAGTGAGAAACTTCACCAAAGACAAAGTGGGGAACAGAACAGGCAGATCTACGAAGTACACTGCTGAGGGGAGCAGCGGGCGGGTCAGGAGAGGTCTGCCTCGCCATGTGGAGCTCCTCGGGGCAGGCGGGATTCGAACTCATGCGGAAGCGGCTTTAGATTTCAGTGCTGTGCTTTAACCCGCTGCGCCACCAGGGAGGGCCATAATTTTTTTTTTTAAGATGTATTTATTTGTGCATACAGAACTGGGATACAGGCCAGAGGCTCTGGGGCTGGGAGAGGCTTCACCAGAGACAGAGTGGGGAGCAGAACAGGCAGACTGACGAAGTACACTGCTGAGGGGAGCAGGAGAGGTCTGCAGCGCCATGTGGTCACCTCCCGGGCAGGCGGGGATCGAACTGATGCGGAAGTGGCTTTAGCTTCTCAGTGTTGTGCTTTAACCCACTGCGCCACCAGGGAGGGCCCACACTTTTGGTGTTTTAAACTATTTTGATTGGCATATGAAAGCAGCATAATCCTGTCAAAAGAATATGAGCATACATTCACAGTGGCTCCAACAGAACTAGAAACTTCCATTAATACTTTCAAAAGTCTTATTTATGAAATGAAACCACTAGAATCTTAAAATACATTCCAGTGATAAAGGGAGGATTAAATACATAAGAAGAGTAACTCAATTCTAATAGAAAACTTTTTTCCTTTAAATCATGAAAGTCTTTCATTAAGTTCTCCTGAAACACTGCAGCAAACTCAAACAACTCAAGTTCCCCCAACCCAGGAAAATCCTGACATACTAATAGCATGTTTACTAACTCTGTCCAAATATTAACATAGTGTTTTACCGGGTACTCTTAAAAAAATCTGGTATTAGTAATAAGAGAGTATGTTCATCCTCCTAATTATTAATGAATGACTTTAGCTTAAAACTTTTTCCTAACATATTAGTCAGTATAAAACAAC